TCAGTCACTAAAAAATCCTAAGCCTCTGAAGCTTGTACATGAAGTACACAACAACCAAAAAAAAAAAGGTCTATTTTTTTCATTTTAGCTTAGAAACAGAAGTCAAGAATTCATTTAATAACTCCTCATTAATCCAAAAAAATCACTCTTCCACTTTGCCTTCCCCACCTTTTCTGCATACTATTGTAATTTTTAAAAAAGTCTTTTAAATACACTGTCTGAATATAACCTATCTAGAATAGCTGACAATTAGGAAAGGGCACACTCCAGTCTGGAACTCAACCTGCAGGGACCCGAAGGACTCAGCAGGGTTACCAAGTAGAGGCAGTTTAGGAACACAAACTATGTGAGCAGAAATTCAACATCCCTGGCTTCTAGATCTCAGATTTGAAGATACGCAAACAAAATCATACGTGTTTCACTAGTAGCATTCACTGGGCAGTAATATTCTACAATCTAACAATATTCCAATGGAACTGAACAAAGATAAACATTAACACCATTTGAACAGACAGTATAATGCACGCCAGCCTTGTTTTGTTTGTAGTCTCGGGTCGTGAGCTTTTAAATTCACAAAGTCAAATGCTCCCATGAATGACAAAAAGTCAGAAAGGAAAAGTCCTCCAGGTGGCAGTCATGTTCTGCTTTTCTCAAATGATAATGTAAATCACCTAATTAAATCTTGAATTTAAATACAGATTTAAATAGTGCATGTCTTTAATCATCTCATTAAATACTAATAACTAAAAGTTACCTTAACACGTTTTGTTTTATACTTTTAGATAAAGTCCCAATCATTATCACATAGGATTTAAAGTAATTATTAACACTTTATAAAATTCCTTGAGACTATACAAAATAACCATTTTAATGAAAACCTTTTGGGAGTTTCTTTTGGATCTATCTTTACAGTCAATTTATTAGGCATGCTGGAAAATTAATCTCTTTAGTGTATTGTTTCCTTTTGTTTTACCTATACCTAGTACAGCTGAACCTTCAACAACATGATTTAAAAACACTTACCAAATTATTATGTTTAAGAATGGAAATAATATCTGATAATTTATGAAACTGAGGTTGGCTCATTCATAAGAAAAAATATGCTGCCACCATTAAACAAACATGACTTTTCTAAATAAGAGGTATAGGAAAATGCACATGAAATACTACATAAGTACAGTAAAATATAACTATGCACACATACTAACTCTGGGAGAAAATATACCAGATTGTTAATAGTGGCTGTCTGGGTGGTGAAGTCATGTCTGATTGCAACTGTCTTCCTTAAATTTTACATCCATGAATGGATGTGATGCTCCCCTGCCTTCTCTTAACCTTTTATCAGGCAAGGAAAGAATATATATCACATATGCTCTATATTTTGACATGTATATTTGTACAAAATAAATAGTATATTTTTATGTTACCAATTTCAAAACCTAAATTTAAGTAGTTTATAACAAATAACACAATTATAATAAAAACCATTAAAAATAAAATAGTAAGAAAAAATAAGACCGTAAATAACACAGCTGAGGAAAGCTATTGCAATTAAGCGCAGAACAGCCTAAGCTTCGCGGCCACCGAAGCCAACGTGGAACAAGATGCGCTACACAGCTTTGTCTAATCAAAGGGGAGGAAGCTGGAGGGTTCTGCTCCTTGAGGTTTGTCAGACAGCGTGTTCAGCCTCCTACACAAATCACTTCATCACCACAGCAACCCTGTGACATCGTTTATTCAGATAGTTCATTTTTTCAGATGTGATAACGGAGACTAAGAGAGGTTAAGAAATGTAACTTGTATAAAATTAAAAATTTAATGAGCTCTTACCTAAGATTTAGACTAGAATTCAGCTCTCCAAGGCCTACATTCTTTCCACTCTAACACACTACACCTCAAAAACAAACAGAAACATTCACCAGAAGCTGTATTTTCCTGAGCACAGAGAAATGTGAACTGCGGGCCTTTATAAGAGACAATAAAATACTGATCAGAGCTTTCAGTGGTATTAAAAGACATGAAGGCATGTTCATTTGGATACAGTCTTTCCTAGCCATCAGTGAAACTCAACTTCTGACCACCAATTAAGTATTAAGGGGAAATGTTAAGCTGCAGTTCTCTGGAGACAATTCTACAACCAACTTTACCTATTAGAGCATTAGCTATCAAAATGACCTCCTTCTTAATCCAGCTGGAAAAGATATTCATATCCCTTATACATTTGTCTGAATATCATGTTATCCAAATAAGCCTATAGAATTTCTATTTCTAAAGCTAATTGCTTGTTTAACTAAGTTTCTTGTTAAAAAGAAAAGGTTAATTTTTAAAAATGGAAAAACAGCTCTCTGCCAGCTCCCAGGAGACTGTGGTCATCATTTCTGCTATGTAATTTTTCTAAAATACACCCACACAAATGTTCACTTGGCACATCCCGTCTACAGTTCTTCGGACACTAGAATGTCATAAATGCTCGCTTCCCAAAAACACACCAGGCCAAAACACTTTCACAGGCTTACTAAAATGATGAACATAAACAACCTTGCTTAAATAGTTTTGAGAATATATGGAAAATAGAAGCACATTGTTCTAATATTGCCTCCCGTAGACATTCATCAGAGTCTGACACATGTTACAAGCTCCAATACAATGCCTATTTTTCAGTTTTCATTTTATGTTCCTTTCCTGACATTAGAATAGTTATATTTCATATTCATTCACTCAAAATTATGTATTGAATCTACAATGTGTTAAGCACTGGAGACACAAAAAGAGAGTAAGAAATTGTCACTGTTCTCAACGAGCTCACCATTTAGTAGGAAAAGAGAGTCAATCAAACCGACAATCAGTTACAAGAGACTGCACTACATACACACTACAGCAAAGAGGGCAACGGATTTAACTCAGACCAGAAAGGGTTTGAATAAACACAGGACTGGTGATGGTGATCTGTTACTCTCATGGTTTTAGTCACAATTTTCAACTGGGTCCATACGTGCTTTTCTGGTCAGCCATCAATAACTCAAGACAAAAATTCATGTTGTGGGTCTTAAACTGGGAATTTATTTTTCAGGAATTTTTCTTTCAAAAAATTTATTGTTGTACTAAGAACATTCTAATTTTATGCTAAAGGCACATGCTTATTTCTGAATACAGAACTTCAGCCTCTGCCTCTCCTCATCGAGTTGGCTGTCCTGATCTTTCCACATCAGCTTAGTCTGCAGCTTCCCTCACCACGGTCCACCCACTGATGGCAGAGATCTGTGTCTTGATGAAATGGTTCTGTATCTTGACTGTAGCAGGGTGCATAATCATAGGTTAAAAAATAAAAGACTGGGGGGAAAATTACTAAAAATTTGAAAAACCCATATTTTAAAAAGCAATCATTTTTTAATTCTATAGCAAACAAACACACCACCACTTCCAAAGAGGGATAATCTCTCAACCCCAATTATCAACATTCCTAAACTTCTGTTTTATGCTTATTTTACTCTTGGAGAACAGCTTAGAACCCTGTATGTTATATATGTTGTATCATTTTTTAAAATATTTTTCATTATTTTAACTTTGGAGCTATCTATAATTTTCTTTTCAAGTAATCTCCAAATTAGTGAAGAGTTGATTATGTAAAGAAAAACTTACCTTTCAGCTTGAAGCTTAGTGGTTTTTACTATTAAATCTTGAGTCTGCTCCTTTGCAGCCTAAAATTATAAACATATCTAAATCAGCGTATTTCGATTTTATTATACTTCAGAAACTATTTCCACTTACTTGAGTTCAGGCTACAGCAAATGAGATCACACTCTAGAACTCAAATGTGTATAAAAGGCCCAAGTAGTTGAAATAGACGTGTCGAGGCTCATACATTACCTTTATTAAGAGGAACACACTCAGAATTCTCAGTATACACGTAATGCCAAGGCTTACAAGAAAAGAAAAAGGTATCACGATGCTGAGGAAAGAATTTAACAGTTCCTGATGCCTTTCAGTGAAACAGAAGCACTGCCAGAGCCCGCTAAGGATGAAGAACAGGACTTCAGTTACGGACATGCTGAGCTGGATGCTCTGAATCCTCCTAATGAAGTCGTGAGTCAAGTCACTGATACGCTGGTGTGGAACTCAACAGAAATACCCAAGGCGGAGATAAACATTTCAGTTAGAATACACCAGAAAAACCATCACCTAGGGTTTCTTCTGGTGAAGATTAGAGACAGCCCCATCTAAAGGACACTGGGCTATTTCTGACCAAGTCACAATAAGCAATCCTCCCTACCCCAAGCCAGAGCTTAAAGGATCAGGAGCGAAAACTTGATGGAGAGGTTATTTTATCCAAAGATTAGGAAAATGTTTATAAAGTGAACTGCAACAAATTACAAGGATAGCCATGAGGTTCTCTCTCAAAGATGTGAACTGGGAATACTACAAAAATAAGGCAGTTAGTAACGAGAGGAGAAACAAGCAAGTGGTTGTGAGGCAGGCAGAGACACAGAGTCCATGCCTTGAAGGAGCATGAAGTGAGTCAGAAGTGTGTATAAATAAACCCAGTAGTAAGCGGAAACCACGAAGCAGACACAAACACACCAAGTGGAGGATCGGTATTTTAAAGAGGAGATGCCAGAGCAAATACGTGTAGATCACTGTCATGCTGGAACACTACAACGAAGAGCCATGCTTCTGCTACCTTCTGCTGCTAATGTTTCCAGGCTGCCTCAGATCTAGAACACCACCATCCGCCCCCTCCGCCCCACCGCCCCACCGCGGTTCTGGATTCTGCCTAATCCTCCAAACTCCCAGATTTTCAATAAAATTTGTCTTATTGCTTCATACACATCCCATCGATAAGACAGCCCCACCCCCATATCTAGTGAAGCTATTTAGAGTCTGTGTCCTTTCCAAACAAATTATGTACCTAGCAAATACTGGATGTTTTCAAGAAAATAGATTTGAAGCTGTATCTTCAGCAGACCACTAACTTTCAAGAAACAGCACTGAACATGATGGCTCCCGTGTTACTCTCCTAAAATTATTATTAAGTCCAGTAACTTCTTCTAATCTTATCCTTCCTAATGTCACTTTGCTTTAAAGATCCACTTCCACCCTTATCATTGCCTTGTATAATTTTTTAACTATAGCATTTCCTCAATTCTAAAAGATATTTAATTTTAATATTGGTGAAAAAAAAGAATGCTTCATGAAATTAGTATCAATAAATGTTTGCTGGCTTCTTTTTACTGTCAGTCATTATTAAATTGAAGGTGTATGCTACAAACAACGCTATTAATCACTGTAACATGATACTTGAGTACAATGTTATGTGGTAAGATTTCTGCATATTTCCTGATTCTTAGTTTATAAATTGTAGTAATGATTACCAAATAATGTTTAATATTAGTGAAGATTATTATCCTAAAACAATCTTCAATTTATCTTAAATGTTAAAGACAAGTATTTCTCATTAAATAATAAACATATACCGCTAAATGAAATTTATCCAAGCAAAACCACAGCCAAAAGGATAAACTATAGTATTTTAAAAAAATCACTGATTAAATTTCTAAATGTATCTCATTATGAAAACTTGTAAAATTTCCCTAATCCAAAGTATTTTAGAAAATATTAACTAAGTCCTTATAACATCCAATAATGAAAAAAGTAGGGGAAGATAGTCCACAAAATACTTTTGTTTTTAAGTCAATAAATTTAAAATATTATTCTAGAGTTGATAGTATGAGTGAGTACAATTAAGATTCCATTAACATGATACCCAAATAAATTAGTGCCAGTGGGTGAATAAAACTTTAAAAATCATGGATCTAATCCCTACTACTCTAAGAATCAAAAATGAATGTAAACAATAGGTACTGCAAAATATTTTTAAACATTCAATTACACAGCTGTGAGGGAATCCTGCACGTGATAAAAATGTTCTACATCTTGATGATAGGGGTTGTTGCATGGCTGTATACAACTGTCAAAGTGCGCTGACTTGTACACTTCAAATGGATGCAGTCTATTATTACACATAAATTATTCCCTAATAAGGTTGATATAAAAATATAAAAAAGAACCATGCCGTTATAGGGGAAAAATAGGATGGGGGGATGCAAAGAAAATACAGAGGACAAAATAGAAGATGACACTCTGTGATTTAAAATACCTAGGAACTGTTTTGAAAACAGTAAGAAGAATAAAACTATTCTGATCTTTTTACACTTAAAAATAGGTATCATGAAGAGAATTAAAATATAATCAAGATAAAAATGAGAAAACAAGAGGTGCTACCACTAAAAACAGAGGAAACAGTAATGCAATATAACACAAGAGACAACATGCATATTACAACGTAGGTACAAAAGTACAGTATAGAAAACATTACAGAGTGTAGTTTGAGAAAAGGCATTAATTCTGAAAGCTAGAAGATGAGAAATGGAAATAAAGAAAAAGTTGAAGAAAATCAATAGTCAAAATCATTTATTAAGCAACAAAAGCAGTATGTGCAAAAAAATGTGAAATGGCAATAACTGACAAAGATACATGATTATTTAAGCATTGTATAATTAACAAAGATCCAAAGGCTGGACAATAAATATGCCAGTAATGTCTGATACATTAGTGAGAATAAGAAGTTAGAGAAGACTAGGATAGCTAAAATTTTAGAGAAACAGGAAATTGACTAGTTCTACAGACAGACAAAAGTAGCTTATGATTGATCTACAGAATATTATAGATTAATGATTCTTCCTAGAATCACTGTAGCTGTCAACAGTTCCAAGAGAATCTTGGGGTATAAGTTTGAGACAAAAATGCAAAGGCGGCAGACATAATCATGACTGACTCAGGAGGAATCTATTCTATTTATCCCAAAATTACATGAATGAGCATAATTAGGTCAAATGCTAACTCTGCAGCCAAACTACAGGCTTAGAACTGCTTTAATGAATAGACCTAAATTTACACACATTTTCCTCAGATGTTTTTTAGGCTAAGCATAAATCATATTTAAGCTGGGTCTTTACTGGGCATAGCTTTAGTTTGGAATTATTCCTAAGGTTTTCTACTAAGGAATTCATTTCTGATGGACTTGTGAAATATTATGGGATTGAAAGGTTTGTCAAAATTCTACAGTTATCTCTATACCGGCAAAATCAAAATATGAAGGCTTCTGAAGTTAACTGCACAGTATTAGTAAACCAAACATTCAAAAACAAGGACAAAGACATAGTTTAAAAAAAAATAGGCATAATATTCCATAATCTTCCTAGAGGGCCCATAATATATTAGATATCCATACATTTTGTAGATCTATCTAGCAATTTCTAAAAGCTTACTCTGTACAGGAACTATGCTAAAATCCAGCCATTATACAGTACCTGGAGGCGACTTGTCATGTCTTGACAACAGTTGCTCATTGCTTGAACATCTTCATTTATGCTTTCAAGCTCCTGAAAAGGAAAAGAGTAACATCAAGCATTATATATACAGAAATTCCTCTTCTCTTAAACCAATTCCTTATTTTTGTCCCATGATTCTTCTTTTTTTGCCAAAACATGACAAAAGATCCTATACTTAAGACTGAAAATGGTAACAAGAATATCAAGAAAAGATGTTAAAAAAAAAAAACCTAGTATATTCTTTTTAGAGGGTCTGACAATAGGAAAATGACAAAAGCTTTATGAATATGAGTAACTGACATTCAGAAATTCTCATGCTATGAATTTATCCAAAGAAATCAATCAGACTAGTGTGTAACAATATATGTAAGAGGATGATCAACAGAGTTGCCTAAAACAAATGGAAAATGTGAAACATTTCCAACCACACAATGGAAATCAGTGCATACATTGATGATAATGTCTCTGTGCGTGTGTATTAGCACAGAAAGATGTCTACATAAGATTAAAAAAGGGTTATAAAACAATACATATAATCCTGCACCACTGAGAACTCATGGACTTCTATATGTTTGATGTGTCTCAGTCCACTGCAGTTATTCTTACTGATGCTTGAATCATCCTATCTTTGGCCAGTGGAAGCCTCTTAAGTTAGCTCCAGAGTCCTTCTGAGGCTTCCCAGTAGTCTTACATGGCTCCTTTGTTTTGGTGCTTCCTTTCAGTGGGAAATGTGTTTAGAAAGTGCAATTTACACGTGCTCATCACTATCTCTCCCTATTTTTATGAACACTACCAAACCTTTCAACTTTCTAGATTATTAGCCTTCAGCCAATGAAATCTTACTAAACTGCTAAAAGTAATCTGTGTTTATTAAGCATTCTTGGAACCATGTATGACACTTTTATGCAACTCACACAGAAGTATCAACTACGTAATATTACTCTGTAATATTAACATAATTAACAAAACATTGCATAGTAAATAAATAAAATATAAGATAAATAAAATTCATTTTCCCCTAAGGTGAGTAGACTGCTCACTCAAGTATAATGAATCATTATTCATTAACTGAAGTAACTGATCTTAATCTGAAAATTTCATGATTTGGGATGCAGTAAAGTAACTCAATCCTAATCAATCTCCAATGGAGAAGGGGTTATCCAAGGGAGGTTTATTCAATGAGGGACTATTTCTAGTGGAAAATCACTAAAAGAAATTTTGTTTGTTTGTTTGTTTAAAAAGCTTAAATTCCTAAAAGAATATCCTGGAACAAATGTTACAGCTTTCTAAGAAGCAATGTTAGTGGAGGTTACAGATTCAGAAATCACACTAATGCAAAGAAAAATCTAGATGTTGCTGAAGTAGTTAAATTTTCTATTTGAAATGATACAAGAATAGCAAACATATCAACCTAATTCATAAAGATCCTTAGCCCAGAACCAGGCATACAGTAAGCTCTCAATAAATACTAAATGACAAGAGTTTACATACTTCCTTTACTTCCTTGAAAATGCTTACAAACTCTTCATTGATGGATAAACTTCTGCGTTCAATATCTCCACGTAAATTTCTTCGAGTCCGCAAACTATTTTCAACGAAAAAGGTTGAAAGTGCTTTGAGAGCTTCCAACATTTCCTATATAATTGATAATAAAAGAACATTATTGGAACCAATTTTCAAATGTTTTTCTAATCTCAAGCAAAAATTTACTAAAATCATTTCCAAAAAATTTGTTTTCCACTAGACAATCTAAAAAATACCAGATGACTTTCACATTACTGAACAGTAAACTTATTTCTGAAACACAATAAGGACATACTTGTGTATTGTGGCATATATACAAGGTTATTCATTGCAGAATTGTTTGGAATTGCAAAGATTAGAAATAACCTTAACGTATAAATAAAAAGGAGTGGTTAAAGACATTAGGATATATCCATTGGAAAAAAGTGGAAATTCTTTCTGTACTCACATACTAAGCTTCAAGGTATGGTAAGTGAAATAATAAAGTACAGAAACCATTATAATATCAACTGTTGGAAAAGGACTATATGCATGCATAAACTCTCTCTGGAAGTATATATATAAAAAATAAGTACCACTGGTAATGACCAGGCTAGGACAGAGTAACTGGGACCAGAACTTAGACTTGAGAGAGGAAGGCCTCTGTGAGGTGACTTCTGAACTGAGATATGACTGGTAGGAAAGAGCCACCCATGGGGGCAAAGCCTTTCACAGGCAGAGGGAACAGTGAGTACAAAGACCCTAAAGCACCAGAAAGAAGGCCAGTGTAACTAAAGCTATGGGAAACTACTAGTTTTTAAGCAAAGGAGTATTGTAATATGCTTTATACCTTTAAAAGTTTACTCCAATTTAGTGAGAAGAATGGATGGTAGAGGAGGGCAAGGAAGGAAGCAGAGAGGAAATAACTAAAATAACCCAAGCAAGATCTGACAGTGGCTTAGACCAAGACGGCAGCATTGCAGATAAAAAGACAGGGAGATATTCCAAAAAACTGCTTTTCAAGGTGGAGCCTATAGGACAAGTTAATGGATTGGATGTGGGATGTGAAAAAAATGACAGGAATAAAAAATTACTCAAAAGCTTCCTGCTTGATGGGTAAAGGGTGATGTTCCTTACTAACAGAGGGGCAGAACTAGTCTGGAGAAAAATCAAGAGCTCTGGCCGTGTTAAATCTTTATGATGTTGATCAGGTATCCAATTGGAGGTGTCATATAGACAACTGATAGTACAAATGTGGAGTTCAGCTGAGGTTACTGGTAATATTCCCAATTGAGAAATTTAACATAAGCTTAGAGAAGTTAAGGGACTTACTCAAATCTTAATGCGCCCATTTGGTGGTTATATCTAAATAAGTGCCCCAGAGCCCGTCTTTTTTACTCACTACATTATAATATTTTTACATTCAATTTCTTACTGACGGTCTATTTGCAGTTACCTACAAAATTATCTGTAAAACTCTCACTTCTAAATATATATTTTTTCCTTTATGTCACAATACCTAGCGACTCATTGAAGAGATAACCAGCCATCACCCTAGCTGGAACGGCCCATCTAAGTTTCAGGAGGTACTTGGGAGCGAATGTGGATAGTTTACCTTGTAAAAAAACACAGCATGAGCCCATACATACATTCTAGCCTGTGCTTAGCTAACAACAAAAACTAGTAGGTATTTCATTTGAGCCATGAGCAGCGGCAGCCCTTTAGCGCTGCAAATTAGTTGTTTTCACCTGTCCCTGGAAAGGCTCAGTGAAGCCTAGCCCTGCCCTCCGGGTCCTCCCGAACGCACCCCATTCGTGCTGCCTTATCTTGTAGCTTGCTCCTTCGCACGGGTTTTTTATCCCGCCCGGGGCCCTCTCTCCCGCTCCCTGCTGACGCCCCTGAACACCTGCGGGGGCAGGGGGCTCCACCATTCGCCTTCCGGATCCAGACCCTTCAAGGAATTGTTTTAATTAAACAGGGGTACCAACCAGGAAACCTCTTCGCTTTTCCAGGGGCTCTTCGGCCTACCCCTTCCCAAACACCCCCACCCCAACCCCGGCGGCTCTGGGGTCCTCTCCGCGGTGGTGACAAGGGAGTGGGTACCGGACAGACGCCGCCCCAGGCCTGGCTCAGCCCACGGGACCCTCGGCCCCGTCAGCCCCGCTCACCTTGTCGTTGTCCAGCCGCGTGTCCAGAATCTTACGCAGCTTCCGCGACAGCGGGTTGTTGGTCTGCGCTGAGGT